TCATCATCTTCAATATGACTCACTTTTCTCTTCCGTGTTCAATAAGAATGATCATTAATTCATTATCATGTTAATTGCTCACTTGAAATAATATAATGCAATTGCATATAAGAAGTTGTGAAATACCTTTACTTGATTGTTGTGCTGCAGAGTTAGTGGATGTGTGTGGTGTGGTACTAGTGAATGTGCCCACTTGATCTGCTTTGCCCCTCAAGACATCCACACTTAGATCTTTTAGCTGTAAGTCTGATAATGACAAATCTGTCTGATCATCTATGAACCACTCATTATCAGATGACATATCATCACACACCAACTGGTCCTCATCATCCTTCAACCCCTTATTCCTCAACCTCCTATCTCTTAACCTCTTGTTGTGCATAATATATACAAGGGAGTTCATTCTGAGTGTTGATAGCCGATTTCTTCTCTTTGTTTGCACTTGATTATATATACTCCAGTTTCGCTCACACCCAGAAGAAGAACAAGTGAGGCCCAAAACTCTTACAGCAAAACTCTGTAACTCAGGGGTGGAATCACCAAATTGGATCCACCATTCAACTGTTTTCAAGAAGAAAAATGATAATCAGAACTTAATAAAATGTCTTGCATTTATCGAAATAAGTATACCTGGAGATCGTTTGGCAATGATTGATTTTGCTGCATGCAGACTGAAAAAACCCTCTTTATTCCGAAATAGAACAAGTTGTAAATATGCAATAACGTTGCAAATCGTTGATTTTGCTGCAATATTTGAGGCGTATGCCTCAAAGGAAATTGCGCAATAACGCTAGTGAGGCGCGCCTCACTCCACTTAAGGCGTACGCCTTATGATGCCTGAGAATTGCATAGGCTTTGAGGCTATTTTGAAGCAAATTGCGCAAAGGCGCACCTCGAGGCGCGCCTCAGATTGCGCAATTTTAAACTATGGCCGTAAGTTCGACTTTTAAGGGAAAATGTCTAGGTAATAACATAACCCTAGACCCCTCTAACGGGTATCATAGTCTATAGGGTTTGGTTGTAAGCCCCACTATACGGACCACTTAGCTTACAGGGCTAGGTCGTAAGACCCGTCGTCAGACAACTTCTAAATCTAGAAGCCATAAGACCTATCTATCCGAAGCAAACCATTGGGCATTGTAGCCTATAGGGGCTAAGTTGTAAGGCCTGTTATATGGGCCACCTCTAATAGAGGTCGTAAGACCGTCATTATGGCTACCTTCAAAGGAAAGCCATAAGCCCCTAACCAAATGCAATTATACGGGCAACTCCTAAATGGGGCCGTAAGACCCTATTCAAATCTAAACTTTTGGCAACTTCTAAATGGAGCCACAAGTCCCAACCAGACCAAACAACCTACAAATATCCACTTTAGTTTACTCGGAATTCCTGAGAGGAGGCAACCCATGACTGCTAATCAGATTCTTTGGACGCTACGATCAATGATCGCTAGTATTGGTAGACTGAAACTTATGATATTCCTGGGATGACGGAACATGGGATATTGGGTTTACCATCATCCCGACATCCCCCACGACCAGGGTTTAGAACATTCACACATTGTTGCACACACATCTGCACTTCTGTCACTAATTAAATATATTTAATCCTGAATCAAGGGTACTATTCTACGTGTTAGGAGAGATAATTAACTATGAGGGCTTGCGCTCATAGGAAGTAGGACCGAGATCTAAATAAACTTTGACAATACTCTCAGGGAAAATTTGGTTAATTTAAAATTCAATCTACTTTGGAAAAATAAGGATCTTAAGCTTGCGTAAGTGAGATTTATGCCTGAAGCGTTCATTTTGTTGTTTTTCCCAAGAGGAACACTAGTATTCCTTACGTAAGTTAAACTATTTCATAAAACATTGTATGAATATTTTTTGTGCTAAAATTGTTATGTTATCCGGGACCAATGTAGCTGAAATCTAAGGCATTTGACATAAAAAGTATGCATATTGATATTTTTATTGTTCAAGCCTGATTTGTTACTTTATGCTTACCAACACAGCTAGTTTGGCTTGTTCTGCTACTAGAAAAACGTACGCATCAAAACTATGCTGGAGAATAGATTTGTTTACCAAGCATGTTTATGTTAATTTGGAATTTTCTCATTTTTGCTAATACTTCGACATTTTTAGGGGTGTTTGCCCTTCATTCATATTTGCTATCCCAATTTAAAATTGGGTGATTTCTGGCCATAGTTTCTGTGACCACTGACCAATTCTTTAGCCTGTTTATCAACTCCAACTTACTTAAAATAATTCCATTTCATTTTCTTATATCAGCTGAATATTTAACTCTTTTTGAAGGTACAAAGGAGGACCAGAGATACCTAGAAAAGTCATATCTGAAAGTATTAATTCCAGAAGTTTAAGGGTAGAGGTTTATCCCCTGGTACTTAGGCTGATAGACGCAAGAGACAATTCTCAAAGAAGTCTAATTATGAGCAGAAAGGTACTTCTATATTAACTTCTATGCTCAAATTCTTTTTAGATGCCAATTTTTCTGCTTGCAAGTTTGATTGGAGTTCCTAAACATGATTTTTTTTGTGTCTAACATAGAAAATAAAGAAGTTAATAATGCTTATATTCAAGTCATTAAAGATATGTATACAAGAGCCATTATTTGTGCTCCAACACAAGGTGGTTTGACCTAGTATTTTTCGATTTTAGTTGGATTATTTCAAGGATCAGATTTAAGCCCATTCTTTTTGCTTTAGTCATGGTTGTTCTTACTAGATATTTATAAGATGATGTATCTTGGTGTATGCTTTTTGCTGTTTATATTATTCATGTTGATAACACTTAAGAGGTAGTTGAAGAAAAACTTAAATTGTGGAGGCCAGCCTTAGTGTCTAAAGGTTTTAGTTCGAGTAGAGCTAAAATCTAATACATAGAGTACGATTTTTGTAGTACTAGATCTAGTAATGACATTATGATATTGGGTGACTAAGTCATTAAAAAGAGTGCACTTTTTAAATATCTTGGGTCTATTGTTCATAGAGATGGTGAAATAAATGGGGATATTACTAGTAGAATTCAAGTTGGATGGTTGAAGTAGGGAAATGCATCAAGCCTGTTGTGTGATAAAAAAGTACCCCTCAAACTTAAGGTAAAATTTTATAAGATGGTTTTGAGACTTGCAATATTTTATGATCCAGAATGCTAACAATAATAAGAGAAGCATAAAATTAAGTTACATGTTGCAGAGATGAGGATGCTTAGGTGGATGAGTTACTTTATACTTAGAGACAGAATGTGAAACAAGTATATACATGAAAAAGTTTAAGTAGCTTCGATGACACATAAGATTAGAGAGAATCGCCTTAGATGGTTTGGTCACATAACCGGTTAGGAGAGTGTTGATGTATTAGAGCTGGTCTAAAGGTAAATGTAAACTAAAAAGAACTTGAATAGAAAGTATTAAAAATTAGCACTTTTTTATTAGAGTTAAATGGAATATCACTCTTAATAGGACACAATGAAAAAAATAAAATAAAATCATGTAGCTGACCCCGCATGGTAATATAAAGGGTTGTTGTTTTATTAATGTTAATGTACTAATTTAATTAGAAATGGAAATGCTTTAAATTGTTGATCTAGGATGAATTTCCTTTTGGTTCCGTGTAGATTTGTGCTGTGAAATTACATAATAATTAATGACTTCACTGCATTCCTCATCATGCCTTCGTGGCGTACTTTGTGGAAGGTCCCAGCATACATTGTGCATGAGCTGATCAATTTTAAACGATTAAACTTCCCATGTTATGCTTTGATACGATCTTCATTTCTTACATCCCTCAAAGATTAGGTCCAACATAAGCCAGAACTTTCTCAGTTTAATTTTAAAATGTTTGGTGGTGTTAATCTAATTATTTAATCAAGAGAATAGCTTCAAAAGGAAATGACTTTAAAATTTAACCTTGGATGGTTTTCCTTTTTGTTCTCAGTGTAGTAATCTATTGTAATATTAGGTAGTTGTGCATGCTTTCATGCAATCCTCCACCTCTGAGTGTGAAGTGATTTTTAGGATGTTGTGTTGTGCTTTGGGAATTCTGTTGACTGTTTGTGTTTGCATTTTATTTTATAACTATAAGTGATAGTGAAGCTTTCTTTTCTGAAGGCTTCAATACTGATTCAAAAAGTTTTTTTTTTTTCTCGTCAGGCTTCAGTTAGAGAGCTTTACAATGAGGTTTGCATGCTTCTCAAACTCGAGCAAGGGCAGGCAAGTCTTATCTCCTTGGTCCATGATCCTCTTTGAAAATTTTACTCTCTCTGGAATTTCTTATGATTCTTTGTGAGTTTCAGATTTCCATAAGGGATTATTTCAATGAGAAAAAGCACGAGATATTGGAAAACTATGACCAAACCTTGGAGGAAGCTAAAATGCAAATGAATCAGCAGGTAGAGTATACCCCATACTCTCACCCCTCATTAATAGCCTGAAAGCAATTTTTAAATTTTATTTGCATGCTTTAGCTTGAATATAAGCCATGTTAGACTGGAAATGCTTTTTTTATGCTGTCGCATCATTAATAATTTTAACTTTTAAAGCTAGGACATGATCCTTTTTTTTAATAGTCATTTCTTATGTTGACTAATGTTAATAAGCCTTGGAGCACATTATTTTGTTTTGGTTAATTGGAAGCACTTCCTGTCAATTTTAGTTTTGCCAGTATGGATACTGAGACTAGAAAAGTCCAAGTAATGAACTTTTGATATTGCAGAACAAACTTTTTGAATTTGGACACTAGAATCCTGTCCAAAAACCAAGAAAGCATACATTCTTATGCAAGGAAGTCACTCGTGAAATTAATTCCATGTTGTTACTTGGCTCATGATATTCAGATATTGTGATCTCGCAAATGCCATATGCCAGGAATTTTTTTTTTTAAAATTTTTTTATAGTAAAGATCAAAAGAAATGGCACATCAGTAAATGCTTTATTTAACATTTATTTTTTCATAAGTTTAATTAGAAATTCATTTAAGTTTAGTTTATAATTTATCATGAGCTAGACTATTATATTTCAATTATTGATGCGGGCAAAAATCCGGGGGATGGGGGACTCGAGGACCTCTGCCCACAAAGAGTAGACCTGACTAAAAAAGAACAGGACTTCTACGAAATAAAACGAACACTTAGCTAATTATAGGGACACACTTACTTGGTAATAGGAAGAACAAACTCTTACATTTCAAATTAAAAGAAACTTACAAATTCGACTCGACCAAGACACCCTAAACTTGCTTACTTTTGAGAAGAGGGATACAGGTGAGGTGGTCACTTGCGGACAAACGAAAGAGATTAGAAGCCAAGACGAAGGGTGGAAAGTACTCGCAAGTCTTTCCTAGAGGAGATGAGAAGAAGGTGGACAAAGCTCGCAAGCTTTTCCAAGCAAACCCGCAGGTTATAGCTTCCAAAAATCACATTTTCACTTTTTTAAACATACACAAAATATCTACTATTTATAGACATGAGAGGGGAATACAAATAACCACAAAACATTAATTTAAAAGCTAATTAAATAGGGAATATGAAAAGCCAACAGTCAACTCCAGGAAACGAAGCACCAAAGCCACGGAAAAGCCCCCCAAAAGTCACGGAAAACAACCCAGGCGGAACCCGAAGAGGCAACCGCAAGAACCAAGGAGCCAAGCACGGGAAAACTAGCAGCCATCCACGGGAACCAAAGGGTCAAGCCACGGGAACCAAGGAACCATCCACGGGAACCAAAGAGCCATCCACAGGAACCAAAGGGACAACAAATGGGGGAATGAACCTCAATTTATGAGCTAAAAAGGCTCTCTACTAGACATTAATGAGCTGATATCTAGTAGAGGAAAATATTTATGAGCTTGAAACATAAGAAGAGGCTCATTAATGAGCTGATTCAAATAGAACTTACAAAATTTTCAACTCAACTTGTTTTGACCCATTCCTTTCCTACATCAATTATTAATTGTAAGATCTGTAAGTTTAGGTTATAATTTATCACGACTTCAGAGTTAGAATATGAATCACTAGTTATAAATGTCAGATTTTGAAAATTATTTAAATTTTTTATAATCATATTTTCTATTTATTAATAGTAACAAGATAAAATTTATGGTACTTATACCTCTTACCTAAGGGTTTATGACTTGCATGTGTCAGGTAAAACACTTGTTTTATACATTGGCATTTCAAAATATTGGTTCGTAATAAGTCTCAAGAAACAGTGTGACACGAGTTAATAGGTTATTGTGAATTCCACAAAGTGTCATAATCGGGGTCAATTTTTTTGTCATTTTTCTCACACCATATCATTATACACACTCAACTTTGTAGAAGGCAATCAACTTCAGCATGTTCATATTAAAGGATTTATACAATAAAAATGAGGTTTTCAAAACCACCATGATACATGCCAATAGGTTCATCTTCTGAATCCTTCCAAGTGTCGTAATTGGACTCCATTTTTTGTTATTTTTCTGACACCATACCATTATTCATTCCCAGCTTTGTAGAAGACAAATCAACTTCAATTTTCATTAAAACATAGATTCTGACATGAGATTTTCTAGGTAAGATTAGGTTCTAAGGATGCTAACCTAACGTTTTTCCAATCACTATCATTTGCACCTAGGAGCATGTTTCTCTAGTTAAGATATAAAATCTTAGACATCTTTCTTCTTTTTTCAGCTGTATTTAATATAAAGAATGCTGAATTCCTTCTGACACATCTAAGCACAAAAACTCTTGCGTTGGATTCCATTTCCATTCATTCTTTGAATCCTTGCAGCCTTGATGGTAATTTCCTCATAACAAAGTGGTGAGCGCAGTCCACAGAGTTACCTTTTTTTTGTATCATCAGTCACATTCAAGTTGTCAATATGTGCTCATGCAACTACTGCGCCAAACTTTTTCTTGCAAAATGTTACCATTGTAATTTCAAGCCTATTTTACGTGTGATATCGTAACATTGTTAGCCACATTATCTTACCATAATTGAAAAAATCTTGTCCATGTTTCAATCCAACAGACATTTATAAGGTGTTGGCCAGTTGTTTCAATCCAACATTATTCCTTGCAGTTTCCAATCATTATCTATAAAGTGCATGATGAGATGCATTTAATTGCATCACATAAAGTGGTCCTTTTATTTGTTTTTCGGTGATCAAACAAATTTTAGCTTCTATTCATTCAGTAAGTGAAAACTATCATTTTTAACGGTCCTTCTAAGGAAATTAAAATATTAGACAAGCCTTAAAGAAAAATGCTTGAAGCATACATCTTCAACATATGCGTAAAAGTAACTCATCAATAATTACCATAATCACAATGTGCTTCTCAACATTTTATTGAAAGAACATTGAAGCCCACCATCCTCACTTTTAATATATGTTATAGATAAGTTTGTTTGGTTAATCTCCACATGATCATTTTTTGACAACTGCTTAGGTGGTTCCATAAACTGCTAATCCATTCACTTTTCTATCGCTATGAAACCCTTTTAATAACAACTGAATTTATTAATTTTCACACTTAACTCATTTATAAATTTTGTGAAATTCTTTGATCTAGGCTTCAACATCCTTCTTTTTTTTTTCATTATTGATGGCGAAAGGCAGGTTACCTTCCTCTCAGGCTTGTAACTTAGGTTGCAGTATTGGATTTTGAATGTTGGGAAGAACTTGGTGGTGGCCTTTTCCTTTTTGACCCATCTGATAATTGATAATTATCAGCTAAGTGAAAGCTCCAAGTCGATTATTGGGGAGGAGGCTTATTAAGGTGGATTGATGGATCGTTGATGAGTAATGGAGGTTCCACAGAGTTGTCAGGTGTTTGATGAGGCTATTAAGAGGCATGTGCATGCATTCACACATGCGAGTGACATGACTTGACTTGCAAAATCTTATGTATAATTTAAGTTGCATAACCTAACATGATCGAGACAATTGCTTGAGTTTTGGATGGCTTCTTGGGTTGAACAACTGCTCAATTTAACTTAAATTGAAGTCGACCTAGTCTATCTAATGCCCACCTTTATTATATGCATATATCCATTTAGTATATATTAATTGACAATGTGAGAAATATTTCCTCTTAAAACACCATAAAATTAGGAGTGAAATCTATTCAAAAATGGGTCCTTCCATCACTTCATAGCTTTTGTTAGGAGGAAAATTTTATCTTAATTTATAATATTTGCTCCAAAGCTAGGAAATAAAAGTAATCAAAAAAGAAACCCTTCCCAATTTCGAATAATCTTTTTATCAAATATGTTCAATTAAATGCTTTTAAAATTATTTGAAAGATTAATTAATCTTATTTTAAAAAAATGTTATGTATATTATTCTTATTTTATTTTCCTATTGATTGCATTGGGTTATAAATGAAATGTCATTTTTTTAAATAAAGGCGCTCTGCACCCATAACCAATCTATTTATTTCAAAATAAGATAGATTTGGGGTGAAAGATGTTGACCTGTAAACCTACGATCGGACCAGCTCCCACTACCCATGACTCCACCTCGTCGGTTCCCATGATCATACGATCTCATAACCGCTTCTATCACGATACAAAACTCCCTCATAATTAAACAATCAAACCAGGCGTTCATTCGAACTCACGCATGTAATGAAGCCGAAGCCAATCTCTGCTCCCTCTATGGCACTTGCAACCTCCGATCCATCTTTTTCCCCATCTCCCACTTCTCTTTGCAAGCAGAAGACCCAGCCTACCGTGCCCCACTCCACCTCATGTGCGGTGGCAAGCTGCCTATGGCTTCTTGCACATGAACCCGCGGCCTAATCCGCCTCTGTCTGGCCTCCCTCCTCCATGCCCTACGCTAGATTCACGACCAAGTTGCGATCACCCCTGATCAAGCCTTCCCACTCACGAATGAAACTTGCTCCGACATGTGTAAAAATCTTCTGTTAGTTCGTCCTTCTGTGCTCAAACGAACATGTCTGATCTCCTGTGCAGCCTGAGCCTCTATTCATTCGATTACTGCCTTTTGAAATTGTGAGTGTGTGGGTTATGGGTGGGAATTATTTGTATATAATAATAATTATTATTAGTATAATAATGGTAATTATTATTATTAAAAAAGAGGGAAAAGCATGAGACTTTGCAATTACCAAATTGAAGACCAATAGAGTCAATTTCGGGATTGAATCTTTTCTCTCGAAGCCTTTGGCTTTTGATTCGATTCGGCTGAGTGGACCCAAAGAGCAAGTGCGTGCCCTCCCCAACCTCTCGCGGGAGGGGGCGCTGAAAGACTTCCTAAATCTCGAAAAACGCAAAATTTTAAACAGGTGCCGCAATCACCAAATTGGAGCGTCAGAAGACCTATTCCGGGGTTGACATGTCCTCTGAAGCCTTTGGTTGTTGAATTGATCTGGCCGAGTGGACCCAAGGCAATTGCCCTCCCCAACCTCCCCTCGCGAAGAGGGGGCATCGAAAGGCTGCCAAAATGTTGGAAAAACACTGAATTACAAATATGTGATCGAAGACTGATACCTGGGTCGATTCATTCCCCCAAAACTCTCGGCGCTTAAATCTTATCCTGCTAAGCAGACTAGAAAGGGCCCTCCCTAACATTCCCTCGCTGACAGGGGATGCCGGGAGGTTACCGAAATTATGCCAGGGGACTACCAAATCGGTGAACTTGAGAGTAATTGAGCATTAATTTAATTAATTAATTGATTAATTTTACTTAAATTAAAACAATATTATCATTTAATTAGTTAATATAAAAAAGAAGAAGGATGATGAATAAAATTCAAACTTAATTAATTAATTAAAAATTAAAACAAACTTTAAGTAACTTTTTTTAAAACAAAATTAAAATTCAGTTTTAAACTAAAAGTGTAATTAATTGAATAATTGATCAAAATTAAAACTTTAAGTGAAAATTAAAAGTGGGGTTCGTGCCATAACACCATATTTTCTTGAGCGAACAAGAGAATTTACAAAATTTGTAAAGAATTACTAATTAGAAAATTTAAACCAAGAATTGAATTTGACATAGGGGGAGAAAGTAGTCTCCCTCTATGATTTAAGCATTTTTGTTTAGGTGATTATTAAATTGCTACTGTTATTGTGTAATTAAGTGTCACAGTGGATTGATCGGAGGCATTGTAGAGTAGAGATCAACGAAGAGGTGAAGGCTTAATTTATCCTTGATGCATGCTAGATTGCAGTCGATATAGTTTTTGTTAAATTTGTTTGGGGAACAAATCTCCCTTGGACATACTTTAAATATTGAAAGGGTTTGCATGGAGCCACCCTTATACTTTGATATAGTTTCAACCTTACAAAAATCCGATTACCCTGATCTCCATCTTTTTCATTTTTCTTTTTTGTTATTGGATGAACAAAAAGAGTACTTTTTAACTAAACTTCATCTAATGAGATTTTTGGGGGATGCGATCAATAAGATTTTCAAATATGAGAATGTAGTGTAATGGAAGTGCATGAGCCACATAACTTAATTGAGGAAGATGGTTTATTTTTCGAAAAAAGGAAAATTCCTTCCTCATTGTTTGTTATAGTGGTGCAAACGAGTTGAGTCGAACTCGAGTTGTAGCAAACTCGAGCTGGACTCATTCCTTAAAAGACAAGCTTGAACTCAAACTTGAGTTGAGCCCATAGAAGGAGCTCGAGTGCTTGGCTCTAGATGAAATCGAGGGAGCTATGCTTCGTCGTCGTCTAGCAAGAGCGAAGTTTGGCGAGGAATATCGAGGCCAGAGGTCTTATTCATTGCTTAAGAAGAGCGAAGTTCCGCGTGCTTGACGATTGACAATCATCTTGAAGAAAGAAGAGGATGCAGGAGTATAAATGATCGAAGTTTGGTGAAATGGCGGGATTTGGGAATTGAGATTATGCTTTTTCACTTTTTTTACATGTGCATTAATTATTCAGAGTTTATTTTTTTAATTTTCTTTTGAAAATCATACAATTGCATTTAATGTTTCGTTGATGTTCTTTTGCAAATTGTATAGCCGCATTTTTTAAAATTATATTTTGATTGGAATTTAATATTTAAATTATAATTTAATGTTTATATTAATTTTTTTGAGTTGGCTAGAGAGCCGACGAGCCGAGCTTTGTCAATCTTGAACTCTCGAGCTCGTGGCACGATGAGCTCAACTCCCGAGCTCGGCCCATTTACACCCCTTTGCTATGTTGCCATAATTGATATCTTTGAGTTTCTCAAGCTTCATGTAGACTTCGATCAACACTGATTTAAGATTATACCTAGAACTTTTTTTCTCGTTAGGTTATAGCTTTTTAAGACTTCTCAATAATAAGTTTTTATTATTTCATATGAACCTTGAAGTTGATTCCAAATAATTGTCATAAAGTTAATGATGATGAATTTTTTTTTTAAATACTCTTATTAATAATAATTAAGTAATTATTAATATTCCTTTTACAAGTTAACCATTGCATAGTCCTGATACACACACACAAAGTAATGCTCCCATGTTACAATGGACAATAAAAATAATAAAAATAAACTTATTGTTAGTTGTACTGTGAGGACTTGGCATAAGTTAAAGCGATAAATGCTTGTGTAAATAAATTAAAATTAATATAGGAATCGATTTTTAATTAAAATTGAAACTTAATATTATATACTATATATTTACATATAATTTGTTATCAAATAAAATAGTTGACATACATTATTTAATGGGAAAATATATTTATTTATTTTAATTAGAATTCAAATTAAAAGAATAACATGCTTGGTCTGATAGCGAACTTTTTGATATAATTTAATTTAAATTCAAAATAACTGTGCCATGTGACACCTTCATAATGTGCTGTCGCTTTCTTGTTTAAGGTACACAAGGTATTGTGTCTTTATTCTATTTTAGACCAAGGTTCAGTTTCTTTTTGCAAAATGCTTAATGCGTTTGCTTTTGCAGATTCTCTTAGAGCCAAAGGTCAATGGTTTGTTGCATACCAGTGGAATGGATTTAGCAGGAAATGCGATGGCATTGGTTCCATTTGAGCCTTCAAGGTTGTCTACAACAATTGCTGGAGGTCCCTCCTTCTCAAATGGTTTTTCAGCTGGATTTGGCTCTAAATTTCTAAGGGATATGGAAGATAGTGATGATATTTTAAGCAACGGGACAAAAGTGGATGGCCGAGGACTCACAGGATTGCAAAATTTAGGAAACACGTGCTTTATGAATAGTGCGATTCAGTGTTTAGTACACACGCCTCCTTTAGTCGAGTACTTTTTGCAAGATTACACTGGAGAGATCAACACGAAAAACCCTTTAGGAATGCAAGTATGAAATGTTCTACTTGCCATTCCTTTTTTTCAATTTTATAATCTTCTTATTTAGAAGCAGCTGCTAACATCTAAAATGCTTTGACATTTTCTGAAGGGGGAGCTTGCACTTTCATTTGGAGACTTGCTAAGAAAACTCTGGTCATCTGGAAGAACATCAATTGCACCCCGTGCATTCAAGACAAAGCTTGCCCGGTTTGCTCCACAATTTAGTGGATATAATCAGCATGATTCCCAGGTAAGCATTTCTAGTACCCTGGTTTTCATCATGTTCTTTATGTTTTGTAGAACTTGCTAATGAGGGTTTTGGATTAAGAGGCAGTGTCGAATGTTTATGTTATGGTCAGTGGTCTGGTCAAAATGGTAGCTGATTGATGTGTTCCTTGAATTTAAGTATTTTTGGATGAGAATCATTTCAAGTTCATCTACTCGTGGATCCATGTTCCTTTCATTTTTGTTGCCTTGGATGTTTATAATTTATAAATTCAACAAATTTTTGAAAATTTTTTACCTTATTACTCTCGGATATGTCAAAGAATTGATTCCTTTTCTTTCGGTAAATTGTGACGCCATTTTTATTTGGAATCTTGTTCTGCCCAGTGGTAAAGGCTCATGCAATGCGTTTTACATGCTAGAATTTTGAAAGTCGTCTAACTGAGAGAGGTTATTATGCCTTTACCTGCCCTCTGGAGTTGCATGCATTGGGTATTTACTATTTTGTTAAGATGCTTTCCGGTTGTCTTCTTTTTAAGATTTAGCTCATTTTTTCTGGGTTTAGGTTTATTAATCATCACTTCATATTTTTTTCAAACTGTCATTTCTTTCCTTGACTTTGCCTAATTCTGCACTTTTAACTATATGCTGTACGTAAAATATCTATTGAATTTCTTTCAGATGGGATTACTGTTTTGAAAATGCAGATTAGTCTGAAGTCCAACAATTATTTCTTGTAGAATTAAAAACTTCATGCACGATTTTTTTTGGAATTTTAATCATGGATAGATGATTTATTAGTTATGCACATGCTATGTTAGTTTATGAAAGCATGGAATGATTTTGATTTGTAGCACATCGTCTAAACATGCACCCAATGGAAGCTGTTTGATGTCATACAATGAAATGGTTCGTCATGTATATACGTTGTCTTTCTTTATCAACATCAAGATTTTATTAATTAAAGAGTTTTGTGTTGTAGTAGAAAGAAACTTATCAAAAGCTTATTTTTAGGAACTCCTTGCTTTTTTGTTGGATGGACTGCATGAAGATCTGAATAGAGTAAAAAACAAGCCATATATAGAAGTGAAAGATTCAGATGGTCGTTCGGATGAGGAGGTTGCACATGAATGTTGGCAAAACCATAAGGCTCGAAATGACTCTATTATTGTAGATGTTTGCCAAGTAAGTTACAACTTAAAGCATGTCTTCCCACCCTTATATTTTAACTCTTCATTTAATTTTCTATCTATGAAAATTGATTTTGATCTTTTTTTGTTTATGATGATATGGATTTCAGTTGCCTTGAGCATTTTGCTTTTCCTGATGCTATCATTTCTTTTATAAAATAATTGAGTAAAAAAGTTTTTAAAGTAGATTTTATTTCTGATCCTGATTTTCTGAGGAAAAACTTTATCTAGGTATCTTTCTGAAAGCGGGTTTAATGACCGAAAGAACACGTAATAGAGGCGGGATCTCTCCGCCTCCTCTATGTGACGCTCAAGCCAACCAGTCGAAAAGAGTTGTTTAGGAAGGATTTTGAGGGAGTTAGGAGGAAAAATTGAATGTAGTGACTTTTTAGAGATTTCCTTTTGGATTGTATGCATTTTTTTAATTTTTAATTTTATTTTTTGTTTTTTTATTTTTTATTTTTGCTGTTGGATTGTATGCATTAAATAGTTTGTTTTCGTAGGGTTAGGGCATCTTGAATTTGGCTGAAAGTTGAGATCTCTTAGGTTTTTTGGGCTCTAGCGGCGTCTAGAGATTTGGGAGAGATAGATCCTCCTCTCAAATAGAGGATCAATTGTATATTGTTATTTTCCTTCCGTTCTATTTGATTATTCCAATAAAAACTAATGTTTGCTATTTTTAGATTGGAGTTGTGGAGTTTTTTTGCTGTTTTTGACAAGATTGTTAGGTATTACTTGAAATATTCTAGTATTTTCTATCAAACTGGTATCAGAGCTGTTTGATATGGGCACCCATGGCTGGAAGAAAAATAGAAATATTGGAAGGAGAGATCAGATAAATGAAATTTGAAATTTTAGATCTCCAAACTCAAGTTTTAGATTTAAAAAAAGATATTTCAATCATCCATGATAACATCGATTCGAAATTTTCCATCCTCTAGGAGATGTTGAAGAAAGTGCTTGAGGGCCTAACCAAAATATCGCTGTCGGAGGTGAGGGAAGACGCCGACAACCAGGGAAGTGGGCAAAATCCCAAACCAATCAGATGAAGGGAAAGAGTTGTAGATTTTGAAGGGAACATAAAAATTGCCTCCTCTACTGCCTATTCCTAGCTAGTAGTCGGGTAATGGGTATGTGGGGAGGTGTGAGGGAGTTGGACATGAGTGGAAGGGTGCTGAATTTGAAAGGGAAAGGGATAAATATGATCAAAAGAGGTTTGAAGTTGAAAGGGGAGGGATTTTTTATGATCCAAGGGGTGATAAATTTGAAAGGAAAAGGTGAAAAATTGATGAAAGACTTGGGTATGAACGTAGAAGGGATGATTGAGACACTTGAGGGGAACCACGCCCTTGGGGAATGGGAGATGGAACAGAGGGAACGGAGGTGATATGAGGGTGAGGAAGCTGAAGATGCATATTTTTGAGGGAGAGGGTGCCCATGAGTGGATCTACAAGGTGGAAATGTACTTTACCGTCAACAAGTTGACGGAGGGGGAGAGACTAACGGCAACCTGGATGTGCTTGGAAGGGAAAGCTTTAGCATGGTACCGGTGGAGGGATACGAGGTGACTGATATGGACTTGGAGGGAGTTTAATGACTGCTTGTTGGAACGTTTCCAAACCAGCAGGGGATGAAACTTTTATGAGCATTTCTTCACTTTGATGCAGGAGGGTACAGTGGTGGAGTACCGTGAGCAATTTGAGTACCTTGCCAGTCGATTGGATCCGCTTCTAAAGATTGTACTAGAGGGGAACTTTATGAAGGGACTAAAACAAAAGATCCGCCCAGCGGTTAGAGTGATGGGGTCTTGTGACCCGGGGGAGGCTATGGAACTAGCTCAGTTGGTGGAGGATAAGAGGCACTTGGAGAGAGGAATGAGAGGTAGCAGCTCAGAAGGCTCGTATAGGATGACCACTACCTTTTTGACACCTAAGGAGTCAATACCAGATACTCTTCGGGAGACTTTGAAGGAGAAGACTGTAGGTGGAAGATCTGGGGACAACTTCAAGAAGCTCATAGAAACAAAATTACTGGAGAAAATGGTGAAGGGGCTCTGTTTCAGATGTGATGAGAGGTGGGCACATGTGTAAGGACCAAACTCTTCAGGTTCTTACCATTTGTGATGAAGAGGGAGTGGAGGAGGGTGTCGTCTTTCCACCTTGCTGACAAGGTGAGTCTTTGGGAGGGGAGTATTGTTAGACCGGTTCCGTAGGGACCGGCTCACGCGTAACAGAGGCGAGATCTCTCCGCCTCCTATAAGTGCCGCTCAAGCCTACCAGTCCAAAAGAGTTGTTTAGGAAGGACTTTTGAGAGAGTTAGGAGGGAAATTTGAATGTAGGGACTATTAATCCTTTTGGATTGTATGCATTAAATAGTTTGTTTTCCTAGGGTTATGACATCTTGAATTTGGCTAAAATTTGAGATCTCTTGGGTTTTTTTGGGCTCTAGCGGCGTCTAGAGATTTGGGAGAGAGATCCTCCTCTCGAATAGAGGATCAATTGTATCTTGGTATTTTCCTTCCGTTCTATTTGATTATTCATTTACTTCAATAAAAACTATTATTTTTTTGTTTTTCCATTGGAGTCGTGGAGTTTTTTTGCTGTTTTTGACAAGATTGTTAGATTTTACGTGAAATATTCAAGTATTTCCTATCAAAATATTGCACTTTAAAGGTGTATGACTAGAGGTTTTTGGGCTTATTTAGCCTAAGAAATATTGCACTTTAAGGGTGTATGACTCAAGGTTTTGCAAGAAAGACGTTTGGAGCATGCAAAAAGCTCCGGTCCAAAGGTTAAAATGCGGTGCTGTCTTGGTTCATGATAGGCTTATTGGTGGTGCTATGAATTTGTTAAAACTCTTGTTATAGAGTTCAATCCATTACATTGTACTCGACTTTGAATTCTTAAATAATGTAATTTTGGCAGCCCTATATGTATTATTTAATATTGAGTAAGCTATTTGATAGGATTGTTGGGAAAAACAATGTGAGCAAAAAGTATTATAATTGAATCCAAAATCAAGGTTGGGTAGGTAGTTGGGATGATACTAAGATTAAGATATGCCATTTTTACTGTCATGGTTTCCATAACTTGCCTTTTAGGAAGGCATTTATCTAATTTACTGTGTTGTTATATGGTCTTTGATGTCTGAAGTACATATAAATTGGGAGAAAAACAATTTTCCTGATTTACTGGATATCTTTAAGCTTATGTGAACAGATTGGTTCATCTTAATTAACTTGATACCTAGGCAGGGCTGAAATATTACTTTTGATTGATTTGTGAAGTTACGTTATCAATAGTGCTACGCTAAGATAGTAGAGGAACAGATCTTAATCAAACCAAACTAAACCAACCATTTATCCCCACAAAATTTGGCTTGAGGTCAGATCCATTCTGAATCAATCAAATTGACAAGTTTCCTGTTCTGCTATTGAGGTAAATTGAAACTGATGACCCATCCATTTTGTCTGTAAACTTGGTCCATTCCACTCACACAAATAACGCCCTAAACCCTATAACAACGTTAGTTTCAGATGCATGTTGATTTCATATTAAAAACTTATAATTTATTCCCTCAGGCCTCTCCCATCAATAGTGTATAGCAGATTGCCCCATTTTGAATATTTTTTGAAGCTCTCCAAAATCATTATAAAAAAATATGAACTTAATTTTTTTATCATTGATGTAATCATATGATGATTTAGAAACCTTTGGCAACATCACAATTAAATGTAAAACTAATTGTTATTCTATCACACATTTCTTAAACATCGAAATACAATTGACATATTTTCTACTTATTGCCGTCAAATTAATTCCCGTGATGCTTTATCATTTTGCTTCGGGAGATCATTAAAAAATATATAAATATTCTTTCTTTTTTTGTAATTTTTTGAACAAATTTTATTGAAATGAGGACAAATTTATTATCTTTTTGACATAATTTTTTGAAGCATATGTTTTATTATCCTTCCCCTGACATCAATATGATTTAGATATGTGATTCCCTTGTAATCACAATTCTGAAAAATCTTTTTGTTCTTAACCATACTGTTTATTCTCCAACATTGACCTCCTCGTAGTTCATAAAGTTTTATTGCAAAGATTTTCTAGCTAAATTATATCTCCCTTAGGCTTCAAATTTTATTAGGTATCTCATGTTTTCTTGAACTTTTACTTTCATTCCTTCTTTAATGCCAACTTATATCTAATTCTTGGATTAATCTAACAAACTTCATCGTTCTATTTAGCTTGCTCTACTAAAAGAGTTTTGATGGGGAATTGTAAGAAATACGAGATTTGTGGTTCTATGATTGTTTTATCTTGGTTTGATTGTTACTAGAGTTGCAATTTCCTTGGAGTTGCGTTATTTGCAATTTGGCTAATATAGTTTTGATGTGGGTCTAAGGAGATTTGTGGTTGTGTTTGTGCTATCTTGGCATCATTTGTTTAGAGAGTTATGATTTCTTTGGCTATTCTTCAGCTAATGCATTTCATGTTGGTTTTGTTAAGGGTTGCAGTTCCTATGTGATTTAGATGATTCAATGTGTGTTTCTTTGGGATCAGTTACAGTGTATCTGGAGACCTTATCACCGGCTTGGTAATATGGAATTAGTTTTATCTTTTGAATTTTATTTATAAATGGATTAAGATGCTTCATTTCATATTATATTTTCTACCTTAGGGGTTGAGTCTATAAATAGATGCTTGAAGACATGTAAAAAGATGAGATGTTGAGATGTTTCTATTGGATGGTTTGTTATGAGATGGTCATTTTGAAGTTATTTTTATGCAACTCTTATAAGATAATATGATTCATGTCATGAGACTTGCAATGTTTTATAGCGTAGAATGTTGGCCATTAAAAGAGAAGCATAAAGTTAAGTGTTGCAGAAATGAGGATGCTCGGGTGGAGAGTGGCTTTACTCTTAGAGACCGAATGTGAAACGAGTATATATGTGAAAAGATTGGAGTAGCTCCAGTGGCAGATAAGACTAGAGCGAGTTGCTTTAGATGGTTTGGTCACATAAAACTTTAGCCTTACGATGACCTGGTTAGGAGAGTAGATGTATTAGATTTGACCTATATTAAAAAAGTTAGAGATGTATCTAAAAAGACTTGGTTAGAAAGTATTCGAAATGACATTTTTTTATTAGATTCAAATGAGAATTTAACTCTTAACCGAACACAATGGAGAAAAAAATTCATTCTACTAATCCCACGTAGTGGGATAAAAGCTTGATGGTATTGTAGATAATATGATCATTTTTGGAACTTATTTATATTTAATGCTAGATTTATATTGTTGTTTGTTTAATGTGACTAATTATGCCCCTTTATTTTATTAACTCCAATATAACTTTAAGTTTTAATTGCTTATCAGGGCCAATACAAGTCAACATTAGTCTGCCCAGATTGCAGTAAAGTTTCTGTTACTTTTGACCCTTTCATGTACTTGTCACTTCCACTGCCTTCGACACTTACCAGATCAATGACTATAACTGTTTTTAGTGGAGATGGAAGTGCTCTTCCTATGCCTTTTACTGTGACCGTCCCAAAAAATGGCTGCTGTAGGGACCTTGTTCGAGCCTTAAGTATTGCATGTTGCTTAGGGAGTTCCGAGGCATTACTAGTTGCAGAGGTAGTGATTAATTTTTCTTCTTTGCTCTTCAGAAATCCATGCTTTGACCTATTGCAATGTTACTGAAATAGTTATTCCATTGCAGGCTTTTGATCATCGAATTCGATACCTTGAGAATCCTTTTGAAGCACTATCCAATATAAAGGATGACGAGCACTTTGTGGCTTATAGGCTTCCAGCAAATCATGAGAAATTAGTGAAACTGGAGATTGTACATTTCAAAGCTGAAAGGTGAGAAGAACGCTGTATTGCTACACTTAAAGCATCAACTATATATATCATTTTCTTTCCCGTAATATTATTGGGAGATTGTATTCACACTACTTTTCTAATTAAAAGGCTACTACTATTGATTTCTCCTTCTCGTTGCAATCAGATTTGTCTATTTAATTTATCTGTATTTGTGGGATTTTAAAACACGCTGTCCTTTTTAGAATGCTGTATTTAATTAGGCTTTTTACTTTTCAGCTTTATATCAGAGTCTCAGCACATTTTGCACCGGCAGCTAATAGGGGTTCCTTTGGTGACATGTTTGGATAAGGATGCAAAGACAGGTTCAGATATACGAGCTTCTGTTGCTTCTGTACTGAAACCACTTTTGCGTAAAAAAGTTTCTCCAACAAATCGGGATGCAATGAGCAAGGACAATGGCTATGGCCCTAGACTTGATGCTATTGTTTTAACAGAAAATGGCGATAATGCTCCTTGTTCAAGTGGCCGGAACCTATCAATATCCAATATGGATGTCGATGGACCTGAGGATATTGCTCCCTTACAGATTTCACTGACAGATGATAGGTTCATAAAGACACCTATTAATGATGATGATGATTTTCTTCCAGAATCTTGTAGAAGGGTGGCATTGGAATGGTCAGATAGTGAATTCAATTTGTACAATTTTAGCTTTCTGGAGGATCTACCTGAAATTTTCAAGTCTGCTTTTATGTCGAAGAAGACAAGGCAAGAGGCTTTTACTTTGTTTTCTTGCTTGGAGACATTTATGAAGGAAGAACCTCTGGGCCCTGATGATATGTGGTTGGTTATTTCTTTTTCCAAGTTCTAATGCAGTAATTGATTTTCTTTCTCATTATGCTTGTTTTTAGAACTAAGGTTGCCTTCTGTTTGTTTTTTTTAGGTACTGCCCTAGTTGCAAGGTACACAGGCAAGCAACAAAGAAGCTAGACTTGTGGAGATTACCAGAGATTTTAGTAGTTCATTTAAAACGCTTTTCTTACAGCCGCTTCTTGAAGAACAAACTTGACACATTTGTGAACTTCCCAGTTCACAACCTTGATCTAAGCAAGTATGTGATGAACAAGTCATCAACCCAACAATCATATTTATATGAGCTTTATGCTGTGAGCAATCACTACGGAGGATTAGGGGGTGGTCATTACACTGCTTATGCTAAGGTACTTTTTGAATTTTATCTTTTATTTATTTTTGAGATATATATATATATATATAAACACTAATTGCGTCAGGTGTTCTTGCCGTTGTCCCAGCACACATTTAGCTCTTTAGAAATGATTCTAATAAATTGAATTTGAAAGTATAAGCCCTCTCATTCCATTGAAGCTGAACTCTTGGCTCTATTTTGCGTTTTTTTTTGCAGTTAATAGAGGAAGATAGCTGGTACCATTTTGATGATAGTCATGTTTCACCTGTGAGTGAGGATTCAATCAAGACGTCTGCTGCATATGTATTGTTCTATCGGCGCAAGGAAATTGACTCCAGTAATAATCTACAGGAGTAGGTCTCTGAATCTCCTAGCCATTAAAAGTACAGATGGGTCAACAATGATAGTGGTAGACTATTGAATTCCTCCAGCTCTAGGGGGTAGCTAAATATTCAAATATATTGTTTTGGTGGCCAAATGGGACGGATGTGGTGTTTTTCTGCTGCTGAGCTACAAACCGAAGGATCCCTTGCATCCACATAGAAATTATTTTATCAGAGAAGCGGATTGACGGTATTTGATCCTTTCTGCAATAGTTTTTTTTTTGGCTCTGCCATATTTATGTAGCTACTAGAACAATCATGGCATGTGCTGTCTTTCTTTTATAATATTTGAGAAAAAATCAAATATTATTTTTTCTTTCATAATATTTTATTAAGAATTCAAAAGCAGAACATGGTCAACATCAGTGCGTGCTTTGCTTTTCATTCTCATAGTTCTCTTTACATCTTGATCTTCTTCTCACTTTGTGAGCTCCGAAAATTTGTGCTCGGCTCTTCTGAGAGAATTTGTGGTCTATGTCAAATTTTAGAAGGCAGATTGAATTGTAGTATAAAATAATATACAGATATTTTGTCTTTATTTTATGGGGATTTTATTTTCAGTTGCAGGTTTCTCATAGTCATTAACTCTTATGATTAATTATCCGTCCCAATGATGAGGGAAATTTTTTTTGAAGGCTAAAGTTAGATGCTAAGTGCTTAGCTTATAATAGCAATTTGATTTTAGGATAAGAAAATTTTTCTTCTTTTTAACTTGAAGTGGATTGTGGGTAGGGGTGTCAATTTTTGACACGACCCGAACCCGACCCGGAAAAATCCGGGTTCGGGTTGACCCCCCGGTTAGCAAACAGGTCGGGTTTGGGTTTGAAAAACTGACATGATTTGCGTTACGGGTCGGGTTCGGGTTGACCCGGAAACCCGATAATGACCCAGAAATGAGTCTGCCCATTTCTGTTGCCCGGCGTGCCCGCCCTGCTCGCGAAATGACTCGACGGGTCGAGTCGCAGTCCCAATCGCGTCATTGGCAGTCTGGCGCTGTCTAGCTCTGCCGACTGGCGTTGTGTCGCGCTGCGTGCTGCCGCTGTTGTCACGCCGCCTGCCGCTGTGTCGCTCTCCCGTAGTCCCGTGCTGGCGTTGCCGGTGTGACGTGCTGCCGGAATCCGCTCTTCCGTGCAGTGCTGTCGGAATTCCGTGTCAGGTCGTGTTGACGCGAACCCGATCCGGGTCGGGTTCGGGTCCAAAGAATTGACCCAAAACTTGTTTCGAGTCGTGTCCGGGTCGGTCAGATACAGCCGGGTCAAATTCGGGTCTGACTCGAACATGACCCGCCAACACGAATTGACACCCCTAATTGTGGGGGGATGGTGATGAAACCAATCAAAGATATCATGGTTACTGTCTTGCGTTGTGGGGTTGTCACGGGCCATAGACTTCTTAGTCAGCAGATGTATTCATCCCATCTTATGAAGGGATCTTATTAGTAACCTTATGTTGTGTCATCTAAGGGAGCCTTATAGACTTTTTGTAGATGCTTGGCTTAGGAGATAATTTTAAGTTTATCAGAGCTAATAGAAAGCTTTGTACCTAATCGCAATTTAGTGATAGTTTATGGCGAAACCACCTAGCTTGGGGGATTCGATCATAACCTTATATAGTGTTCTTTTTGACTGAAATAGCGCTCAGTTGGTGGACATGTATGGTGTCCTTACTTGCATATGATCTTTTGGGAGTGATCAGGTGCTTGATATGAAATTGACTTTTTGTGAGCTAATATTCATTGTTTGTCACATTTGAAAAAATTATTAGGCTGGATGATTTTGCTTGGTTTTTATTTTATTTTATAATTGTTTTAATTCTTTTATATTTTTATGCTTTTTTTTTAGTTTGAATTTGGACCGAAACTAACTTGCTTTGAATTTGAGGGCATTTTCAAAATGTCTCCGCCAATTGAGGTTCGCTATCAACACGATTATTATCAAATTAGGTTGTTTGCATCATTTGTATGTTAAATTGAGAGATCCATTTAAAAATGAGCCTCTCTTGTTACGATGTGCAATAGCCACGCCTATCATAATAGTCAACGCTAATAAGATTATTTTTTCGTGCTTCAAAATGCCATATTTTGTTGGTACATGACTTCTTCTTTTTTTTTTTTTCGCGGCATCTCCCACATGCCATTTTAAGAAACCTTTTATAGTTCATTTTTCATATTCTGAAGTTCAATTCATAGGGTTCTTAAGAATTTAGTGCGTACACGAGAGTTTTAGAGGAATGATGAGGTTCTGTTTGTACCTCAACAACAAGTATCTTTAATTCTTATGTAAGTCCTCTTTCACTTTTGTTATATCCTATGCAGCTCATCTTGATTCGTTGGTTTCAAAAATTTTGACTAATAACTAAGAGGTCTTGGTTCGGAGCTTTTATTCCGTGCGGACACCGGACGGTTCTCTCGTCCGGTTAAGCGCTCGGTATCGAGGGCGGTACCGAGCAAGGTACATTTTTTGGGTGACGTGACGCATTTTTATTGGTTGGACGCCCTCTGGACTCCGCACAGAATAATAAATCCTTGGTTCGAGTCTTGTGTTTATGTGTGGGTGAATATATCTTAATTAGTTTTATTATTTTCAATCCATATGTTGTTACAGTTTGAGCATATTTACCCTTAGTAATTTTTTTTAATTGCATCATTTAATTTAATAAATTATTTTTTTGGATTCATTCAAGTAGGATTTTGATGAAATTTGGCAGCCTCTTGGTTTCTCTCATTCGTAGGAGTGCCTAGCCCATCGTTGTTCTTGTTTTTTTTTAGCTGAGTTGCCTAATTTCCTGATGGTTTGACTCTTGACCTCGTTTGATTAGGCATCATCTCCTGCTCGTTCGCTCGTTATTTTGCAGTCTACAGGTATGCATTCTTTCATGGATGTTTATTTTTTCAGAGTATAAGACATCAAAGATGATAGTGTAAAAACAAATATAAATGTTTTCACTTTGGAGTATTTCAGACTTGTAAGTGGAAGTATTTCAAACTTTAAAGTGAAACCACAAACCAACATAACACAAGGGTATGATTTAATCATGACTTTGGAGAAATTCATAAATATAATATATGTGTATTTAATGAACATGTGCGTGTTTGTAGATTTAGGCTTCTTTTTGGGATGACTTTCGTAATTTTTGTACTAGAAAGTTGATTTAAAAAGCGGTAAGAAAGCTATCCTAAACGAAGCCTTGGGCTCCATTTGGGGTAGTTTTTTTAATTTCTTAATAAATTCATTATTTAATATTAAGCCCTTATACCTCCACTTAGATGCACATAAGTATCAATTATCAGTAGTCAACATCTTATCCCTTCTCCCCTTTTTCACACTTTTTTTAATCATAGTAACATAAAACGTCTATACTTTCAATATATATAAATGGTACCAGACGCATCACAAAAGTATATAGAAATTTATAGCTATAGCAAAACAATAGGAATTACAAAACTATTCTTATTTTCTATTCACACTAAAATGTTGAAGCTATTCTTATACTTCATAAAAATAAATAAAATATTAAGGTTGTGAAAATCGGACTAGACAATGAACTAGAAGTTGAGGTTCACTATTTGACTGGTTCATCGGGTTCAACCCAAATGACGTAATAAATAATAATATTATTAAAAATTAATATAATAATATCACAATCTAACCTTAAAATTTTAACAATTTTTAAAATTTAGATTTATAATAATATAAAAGTCTAAA